GGGGGAGGAAGATCTGGCAACTGATTGCTTCCCTCACACACGTTTTCGCCTGGGGCTTGCCCTCTCCCTTGGGGCCTGAAGGGAGCTCCATTTGGGATTTTCTCTTCCTTCTTTTTAATGAAAATCCTCGGTCTATGCTAGAAACCTAACCTCCCTGCCTAGGCCCCGTTGGGAATTCCCAACCCTCAGGAATGAGTGGGGACTTCTCCGGGGATTCCTGTCCTGCTTACCCATGACTTCACGGTTACTGCGGCCCATTGGCCAAGCCTCTGGAACCTATGCCACTTGCGATCCCACCACGCGCTGGACATTCCTGCTGTGGGCAGTTCCTCAAAATCACCTCCAGCTGCCTTTGGCCACCGCCACAGTGGTAGCCCATCCCCCTAGGCCTCCCAAGTGTCCTGCCTAGTGGGTTCAGGTCAGGTGTATTCACCACAGATGTACATTTGTCCTGCTGCAGATGGTGGGAGTGAGGTCTTGCCTGGCAAGGCATCTGGGAAAAGGTGTCATGTGTCTTAGACACAAAATGTGCTTTCTTTCCTTTTGTTTCTCGTTCCTCTGGCCTGAAAACTTCAGATGTCTGTTTACATACCAAAGAATAAAATGCTGGAATGTTACCAAAGACTGCTTCCCTGTGCCCTCTAGAGGGATGAAACACAGCAGGGGATAATCAGCACTACCCCCTCACCCAGGGGAATGTGCTGATTGACTCTGACTGCCCCCTCAGCAGGGATTACTAAGCACTAAGCCCTTACAAAGGTGACCTTCAGCAGGGAATGACTCAACATGGAGACTGCAGCAGAGAGACCTGACAGCAGGATAGCTCCATTACTGCCCCTGAACACGGATGACTTCAGCAGGGATGACTCAGCATGCCTCCCTCCACAGGGATCCATGACTCAGCAAGGCATGACAGCATTGCCCCTCAACAGGGGAATGAGCTCCAGCAGGGATGATCAGGGTCAGGATAGATGACAGGCACTGGTGCCGGCAGCAGGATGACTGCAGCAGGGATGGCTCAGCACTGCCCCTTCAACAGGGAATGGACTCAGCACTGCTCCAAGCAACAGGGATGACTCAGCAGGGATGACTCAGCACTGCCCCTCAACAGGGATGACTCAGCAGAGATGACAGCGCTGTCCCTTAGCAGGGATGATTCAGCAGAGATAATTCAGGGATGACTCTGACTGCCCCTCAGCAGGGATGAGTCTGTTTTGCTCCAATGGAAGCATCCCTAGTGTCCATCAGCAGGTGAATGGCCGAAGTGGCATATACTGTAGTCAAATTCAGCTATAAAAAGGAATAAAGTATCAATGCATGCCACAACACAGGTGAACCTAGAAAATACTGTTCTAAATGCAAGAAGCCAGACACAAAAGGCCGCATAACATATGGTTCCATTTATGTGAAATGTGCAGAATAATAATAAACATGTATAGAATAGCAAATCTGTAGGGACAGACATGAGGTGAGTGGTTGCCAGAGGTGGAAATGGGAATTAACTATAAATAGCACAGGGTACCTTACAGAGATGATGGAAATGTCCTAAAACTAGATTATGGCAGTCGTCGCACTACGCGATCAGTTTATTAAAAAATCATTGATGTGTATGTGTAAAATGGGTGGATTTTATGGCTTATAAATTATACCTTAATAAAGGTTGACAAAAAATGTGGCTAAATAATGGTGACTGGTGGACAGCTCCCGTTACTTTTAAGTTCTCTACTGAATTTCAGTCTTGTTCTCTCTGCCGGAGATTTTCCTTAACAAAACTGATGTGGGTCAAGCTCCAGCGGCCAGGAGCAGCACTGACTGTTGGCTGTTTCTCCCTTCCTGGGTCAGGTGCTGATATTGCGAATGTTTGCAATGAAGCAGCCCTGATTGCTGCCCGGCATCTGAGTCCTTCTGTTGAGGAGAAACACTTTCAGCAGGCCGTCGAGAGGGTCCTCGGAGGTGAGCTGGGAGCCCTTGGGGAGGGAGGGGTGTTTGCAGCTCTGGGCCTGGCAGGCTCACCCTCTGGCCCCAGTTTGAATTCTGCATGCCAGCTGGGCACAGTGGCTCACACCTGTAATGCCAGCACTTTGGGAGGCCGAGGCAGGTGGATCACTTGAGGTCAGGAGTTTGAGGCCAGCCTGGCCAGCATGGCGATACCCTATCTTGATTTTTAAATACAAAAATTAGCCGGGCATGGTGGAACATGCCTGTAGTCCCAGCTACTCAGGAGGCTGAGGCAGGAGAACCTCATGAACCCGGGAGGCAGAGGTTGTGGTGAGCCGAGATCGCGCCACTGCACTCCAATCCGGGTGACAGAGCAAGACCCTGTCTCACACACACACACACAAAAGTCAATTCTGCAGGCAGGAACCAATTTTCTAAACCAACATATGGGGCTTGGGATCTACCAATAGCTTTCATGCCCCTTCTGGGAGCAACATTTAGAAATTGAAAGGGATAGGCCTTCCAGGCCATCAGAGGCCCAAGGAAGCATATTAGAACCAGGTTTGAATGCCTACTGTGGAGGGCAAAGAAGCTTTCTTCCCTGAAGGGAATGGATGAGATTTCCTGGGAAAAGCCTGCTGGAAGCTGTAGGGACCTTCCTGAGCCTCCTCAGGACAGTACTGTTGTGAAAGGAGTGAACAAAGTGAATTTCCTTTTTTTTTTTTGAGACGGAGTTTAACTCTTGTTGCCCAGGCTGGAGTGCAGTGGCATGATCTTGGCTCACTGTAACCTCTGCCTCCCGGGTTCAAGTGATTCTCCTGCCTCATCCTGAGTAGCTGGGATTACAGTCATGTAGCACCACACCTGGCTAATTTTTGTATTTTTAGTAGAGATGGGGTTTCACCATTTTGGTCAGGCTTGTCTGGAACTCCTGACCTCAGGTGACCTGCCCGCCTCGACCTCCCAAAGTGTTGGGATTATAGGTGTGAGCCACTGTGCCCAGGCTTACGGTGCATTTTCTTCAGCTTGGTGGGGAGCGGTATCCATGTCTCTCTTCAGCTCAGCAGACTGTAGAGTGGGCCGGGTCACAGCCTCCTGCAGCTAGGCCAGCTTGGGGAACTGGAGTCAGCTGTGAGGAAGGGTCTCCAGAGGCTGCCAGACCAGGCAGTACCAACACAGCCTTGCTTGGCCTGGCTCTCCCTGGTGCAGTTCTGAGGGTAGAGAATAGGGAAGTGGCCAATAGCCGTCCTTCATGGTCCACCCCAAGCTGTGAGAGCTGACATTGGTCAGGTGGAAGAGTGTTCTAGCTGCTGGGCTTTATGTAACCATTTATCGAAGCATAATGTATACATAAAGTACTTAAGATACTGAGTATCTCAAAGCAAACACTAAAGCTGCTGCCTTTTTTTTTTGTTTTTTTTTAAGTGGAGTGTTGGGATCTTGCTCTGTCTCCCAGGCTAGAGTGCAGTGGTGCGATCTCGACTCACCGCAAGCTCCGCCTCCTGGGCTCAAGCAATTCTGTTGCCTCAGCCCCCCAAGTAGCTGGGACTACAGGCACGCACCACCACGTCCAGCTAGTTTTTTGTATTTTTAGTAGAGATGGGGTTTCACTGTGTTAGCCAGGATGGTCTCGAACTCCTGACCTTGGGATCTGCCTGCCTCGGCCTCTCAAAATGTTGGGATTGCAGGCGTGAGCCACCGCGCCCAGCCCAAAGCTGCTTATTTTTATTTAACTTAAAAAAATTGGCCGGGCGCGGTGGCTCAAGCCTGTAATCCTAGCACTTTGGGAGGCCGAGACGGGCGGATCACGAGGTCAGGAGATCGAGACCATCCTGGCTAACAAGGTGAAACCCCGTCTTTACTAAAAAATACAAAAAAATTAGCCGGGCAAGGTGGCGGGTGCCTGTAGTCCCAGCTACTCGGGAGGCTGAGGCAGGAGAATGGCCTGAACCCAGGAGGCGGAGCTTGCAGTGAGCTGAGATCCGGCCACTGCACTCCAGCCTGGGCGACAGAGCAAGACTCCATCTCAAAAAAAAAAAAAAAATTAAAAAAATTTTTTTATAGAGATGGGGTCTTGCTATGTAGCCCAGGCTGGTCTCAATCTCCTGAGTTCAAGTGTTTCTCCAACCTTGGCCTCCAAAGTTCTGGGATTCCAGGTGTGGTCACCGTGTCCTGCCACCAAAGCCTCCTGAGGGCTGTCCTGGTGTGATTAGAGGGGTTTGAGGAGGGCTGGCTGTGCCATCTGTGCTTTTCCTTTGTCCTGTTACCTGCCCGTACACTGGGCTGTTAGGGCACTGAAATCATCCCTCTCTGTCCTGTCATGCTGTGCTGTCATTTATAGTCAAACCAGAGGATATGGTGCCTTTCTGTGTTTCACATGCAGCTGTTCCCATTGGCTTCAGACGGGCCTGTTTTAAGGCTTCGTGTGAGGTGTGTGGGATGTGGGTTTCACTGCAAAGCAGAAGGCAGCATGGAGCTGGGGCTTGGCCTCTGCTGTCTGGTATAGACAAGCCTGGGGATCAGGTGTAGCTGCAGACACGGCTGGGCGCAGAGGGAGGGACCTCATTTCCAGCCACCTACTCCTGCCCTGCCTCACTCCCCTGGGAATGTGATGTGTAGGTCTTGAGAAGACGACCCAGGTCCTGCAGCCTAGTGAAAAGACAACTGTGGCCTACCACGAGGCCGGACACGCGGTGGTGGCCTGGTCCCTGGAGCACGTGGACCCCCTGCTGAAGGTTGGTCTTCCCACCCTGAGTGAGTCTGCCCGGCAGGCTGGGGCCTGGAATGTCTGCGCCAACCTGTGGTCATGTGGGCATGGCACGTTCAAGGGTTGGCCCTTTAACTTTTTAAGGAATATACTGCTCTAGAATTTGTCAGAAGAACCCTTTGGGGTGGGAAGGAAGAGCACTGGGTTCCAAATGGGGCCTCGGCCATGCGACTCCAGGGGGCAGCCTCAGTGTTAAACCCACCTCACTCCTGAGCTCTGGGTTCCACCATTGGCCCCTCCAGAGCCTCTGCAGGGCAGGCAGAGCAGAGGTGGTTTCCATGTGAAGCCCCCAAAGGCGGGTGCACTTCTCGGGGCATCCCCATGGTGTACAGGGGGCCTGGGTCAGGCTCTCTTCTCTCACGTTCCAGTAGAAGGACCTGTGGTCAGAGCTAGGGTCAGGTGGCCTGGCCGCTCCAGGGTGGCTCCTGGAGGAAGCGGGGACAGTGTTTGGGGTGACGAGGGCATGTGTCCTGTCCTCAGGTGTCCATCATCCCCCGGGGCAAGGGCCTCGGCTATGCACAGTACCTGCCCCGGGAGCAGCACCTCTATACCCGGGAGCAGCTCTTCGACCACATGTGCATGATGCTCGGGGGCCGGGTGGCCGAGCAGCTGTGCTTCGGGCAGATCACTACGGGGGCTCAGGACGACCTGAGGAAGGTCACCCAGAGTGCGTATGCCCAGGTAAGGGTGGGCGTCCCCCAGCGCGGGCTGCAGGAGGCTATGTTGGGCGCAGGCTCATCCTGGGTTCCGCACTTGCAGATTGTGCAGTTTGGGATGAGTGAGAAGCTGGGCCAGGTGTCCTTCGACTTTCCCCGACAAGGCGAGGCCCCAGTGGAGAAGCCGTACAGTGAGGCAACCGCCCAGCTCATTGACGAGGAGGTCCGGTGCCTCATCAGCGCTGCCTACAAGCGCACCCTGGACCTGCTGACACAGTGCCGGGAGCATGTGGAGAAGGTGAGTGTGGCTTCTGCCCAGACGGTCGTGGGTCCCATGTTGGGTCACGGTCAGGCCACACCCGAAGGCCACACCCATCCTCGAGTTTGCTTAGGTTTGGTCTGTGAGCATGTCCTCAGAGCTGTCTGACAGGTGGGCCGTTGTTTCCAGGTGGGCCAGCAGCTCCTGGAGAAGGAAGTGCTGGAGAAGGCAGACATGGTGGAGCTGCTGGGCCCTCGGCCCTTTGCGGAGAAGTCTACGTATGAGGAGTTTGTAGAAGGCATGGGCAGCCTGGAGGAGGACACGTCCCTACCCGAGGGGCTGAAGGGTTGGAACCGGGGACAGGAGGAGGAGGACATGGAGCAGCCTGTGCAGGGGAGCTCTGCGTAGCCTGTGGCGGTGCCTGCACCTGCTGCTGGGTGGAATTCAGGTGACTGCCACTTACCTGGGGCCTTTGCAAAGCAGCTGTGGACTCTCACCCAAAACAAATTAAAATGTGACAACTGTGAACGGGCGTTTTAGATCAGGGTGCTCTGAGCCCACATGCAGGGAGTGGGAGTGGACAGAGAGGGTACCCTGAGTCCCTGGGTCCTGCTGCTGGAGGACAGTCAGGTCCAGGGTTAGATGGGAGAGGCCCCAGGGCTCTGGCCCCTGTGGTGCTGAGGCTGGCATGAGTGTAGCTTCAAGAGGGACTTGCATGGGGCACCTTCCGTGGAGGCGTGTTGATGTCATAAAGTCACTCAGAGGAGCCTGGGCCCAGCACAGAAACCCTCACGCTTTGGTAGAATTCAGAAAAGGAGAGCGTCAGCCAGGTATCAAGGGTGAGTCAGGTTTCTAAAGCAGCTGTTTGGATTGGTGGAAGCTGATCTGTTGATCTGTCCTTAAAAAGGATTAAAAAGGAAAGTCCACACCACCCACAGGTGTGTGGCTGAGGGGGGAGGAGGAGCTGTGGGGCCTCACACCTGGGTTCCTCATCCGGGCACCCCCCCACCCCCGCCTGCACCTTGGCTCCGTGGCAGCACTGCTCCGAGTATGAGGGATTTGAGTTGCTTAAAAAACCTGGCCCCTGTCCTTGGGTGGAGGTGCTCTCACTGCAGGATGTATCTGGGTCATCGGTTCGGTTCCTGTGATCCTTTTTTGTTGGAGTCCTGGAGAGGGAAGCTCTGCAGGGCCCCAGCCGGCTCAGGGGTGTTTGTGGAGAGGCCGTGGTCCTGAAGCCTCAGCACGCGGCTGCCTCTGACCCTCGTGCCTGTTCATGAACCCTTTTCCTGGGGTTGGGTAGCTCCTAATTTTTATTAGGGAGGCCCCTTCTGGGCTCTGAGCTCCAGGCCCTTTGGTGCCTTGAACTGAGGGAGGCTTTGCTTTTTCTTACCTGGGGTGTGTGGGACTCGGTGAGGATGCCCCTTGCGCTGTCTCCAGCACATGACCTACCTCCAGGATTCACTGGGGTCAGCAGCAGTGTCAGCCTCAACCATGCCTTGGGGTGGGGGGGGATGCGTGTCTAGGTCACCTGGGATGGGACCTGGGGGATGCCCATTTGCAGATGTCCTGGGTGAGCGGTCGTAGGAGGAGGCCCTGCTTGTGGGTCACCTGGGATGGGACCTGGGGAAGACACCCTTTTGCAGATGTCCTGGGTGAACAGCTGGAGGAGGAGGCCCTGCTTGCTGCCCTGGGCACTATTTGTTCTCAGCCTCTCTCTCGACCTAGGCCAGATCAGACACTGGGGCTTTGTAGTACATTTTATAAATTGCTTGTTACGTTGGCCTTAGAGCCTCAAAAATATAATTTCCAACTGGGGGTGAACACGTTCAACTTTTGCCGTTTGTAAAATGCGTATCATCGGACTTAACAACTCTCCAGCACTCAACCTTCATCATGGCCTCCACCAGACCCAGAGTAGCTGAGCCACTTGGGGTCCGGTTGGGGCCTGGTCTCAGGTCCCTCAAATGGAGGTGGGGGTGCTTCCTCAACCCCACCCTGCCCCGGTGACATCGTGGCATCTGGTGGCCTCCGGGATGCAGGGTGGTCATGGGCTCATGGCTCCGGCTCCACTGTGGTTCCCTCCAACACCCCTGGGAGAGCCTGGGTGTCCGTTTCGTCACCTCCCAGCCGGCTGCACGTGTCTGGGGTCCTTCATGATGATCTGGGTGTGGGATCCTTGTGCCTCCCCTACCGGGCTGTTCCCTCCAGACCTGTCTGCTCGGCACCTGCCTTCACCCTCACCTCTTCAGGGCTGTCACGCGCCTTCCCCTCAGCCTTCCTGCATGTGTCCTTCACAAGCTGTTCCTTATGTTAATCAGGAGTCGTCTCACCCCCTGAATCAGACACCATTTTCCATGGCCTTTTCCCCCGTCCTGGGCGTGACCTGCAGTTTGCCTCATCAGCCTGTCGATGGTGGCTCAGCTGCACCTTTGCTGAGAAGCTCCATCGGCCGGAGTGACACCTGCGGGTGCTGCTGTCTGTGCTCTGGTGGTCTGTGCACCCTGCGGGGACACGAGCCTTCAGCCCCCGTATTTCTCAGCCTGCCTGCCTCCCTCCCTCTGCCAGAAGGGAAGGTGGAGTGGGGTGGATTGCGTGTACCTGCCGGTAGCTGTGCACCCTTTCCAGAAGGTACATCAGACGGAGGCCGTTTTCTGGGTCCATGGTCGTAGGACACCTGACTGAGAATGTTCATGTATGGGAGGCCCCAGGCTTCTCCCCTCAGAGCCCAGCACGGAAACTCACAGAGACCCATGGGTCTGGCAGAAGGGAGGTCAGCCCTGGCCAGGCTCCGTGGCCATCTCATTTCATGAGTAGTGACAGTGGACAGGAGTTTAGGCCTCATCTGGTGCCTCCGCATGACCAGTGCCAGTGGCCTCTGGGACAGGAATGTGTTGAGAGCGACTCCTTTGCTGGGGAGTGACTCCCTCCCCTGGCCTGGGCCACCTTTACGAACACGTGGGGTAGGACTTTCACTTCCTTAATGATTCCTTCTGTTGTGTAACTTTGGGACTAGAAATCCAGGACACTCATCCCCCAAATGGGACCCAAGTGAGCACAGCAGAGCCCTTGGGCTGCTGCAGCTGGAGAATGAGCAGGGCATGGAGCCCAGGACGGCTCAGCCCACACCCCTCAGCAGGCACCTCATGCACTCTGGCGTTGGGAAGGAAGAGACGGCAACCAGGCCTTTGAATGCGCAGTGATGCTTTAATCCCACTGTTTGCAAACGAGCTCTGTGGAAGCTCAGCAGGAAGGATGGAAGACGGGGAGGAAGACCCTGGCGGGTGGAGGTGTGGCCAGGGACACAGGCTGCCTTTATGGGACTGGAAGAGAAAGCTGCCTGGCTCTGTGTGACTGGAAACCAGGGAAGGAGACCTGGCCGAGGCAGGAACTGGGTTTACCAGCAGTGCTGAGAGGCAGCGGGTGGCTCAGAAGTGGGAGCAGGTGCCGCCTCTAAGTCCCGTACACAGAAGGAGCTCAAGGCATGCCTGGGGCATCTCCAAAGCTCTACTGACAGTGAAGGCCAGGAGCCTGTTTTCCTTCCCCAGAAGTGTGCTCACGGGAAATGGGGCTGGGGCAGGTTGGCTTGCGGATGGAAAGTAAGCTTACACTTTCGTATTAAACTCATTCTTTGACTTGCTGTCAGGCGGGAAGCCCGTTCTGTGAGCTTCAGCATATAAGCATTGGGAGGGCATGAGCTGGGCCCCCAGACACCCCAGAGCAGAGGGAGCAGGGCCTGTCAGCCTCCTCTGCTGCTGCCGGACACAGACCCACGGGTCCCATGGGCCCCAAACCTGCCCAGCAAGTTTAAGGGCTGTGGGCAGGCCGTGTAACCGGGCAATGGGATGTGAGCAGAAACGAGGATGTGGCCTCATAGTGGGTGCAGGACAGGGAGACGGTGAACCCCTCCCCGAGAGCATTCCAGGAGGTGTCACCAAGTTTCTGAGGCAGTCTGGTGATATTTGGTGTTCTGAGCTAAGGAGGGAATGGACTTGCCTGTCACGCAGGGACCAAGAGAAGCAGGTGCAGGTCTTAGAGCTGAGCCTTGGGGAGGGGACCCTAGTGAGACAGTGCCTCGTGGAGTAGAAGAAGGGGCAGGATGGAAAATCAAGGTGGGAATTTTGGGGCCGCTCCTCCATGTGCTTTGCTGGACAGCACATTGTCCCATTAGCCACTACCAAACCTGCCTCTGGCTTCTGAGCTTGGTAGCACAGGTAAGTGCGGAGGTTGGAGCAGCCCCCGGAGTTCCTGGAGTGGCTGTCACAGGCCTGGGTCCCCCTCACCCCAGGGCCGCCATGGGCCACTCCACTCCTCACCACGTTTCCGGCAGTGACTCTGTGGCGCTGTCTTCCTGACTCAGCCCAGGAACAAGCTGGACGTAAGGCCACTGGGCTGTGCTTGTGCTGGGTCTCCCAGAGGCATCCAGGGGCCCCATGTGTCCCCCAGGAAAGCCGGCTGGTCTCCACGTGAGGCTAAGACCTGTGCCCAACAGACAAGGCAGGCCTTGGGGCTGGCAGGGAGCTGCCCCCAGGGTGTGTGTCAGGAGGTGACGGCTGGAGCCTCGTGGGGGTACGAAGTGTGTCTGCTGGGTCAGGACTGCCCAGATCTGCCATCGTGATGTTCTGACTCCAGCCCTGCAGGAGCTGGAGGGCAGGCGGAGACGGCTTAGTCCTCCTGGGGCCTCTCCACAGTGAGAAACGTGTCCAGGACTGTGGCCTGCCGCTCAGGGTCACCTAGGGGCTGCTTCTCGCGGTTCTGCTCAGCCCTTGTCCTCGTCCAGGAAGGGGAGCGCAGGCAGCCAGCCCGGGGCAGCGGGTGCAAACCTAGGGGGGTGCGGGCAGGGCAACTCAGCATGGCCGAGAGGCCTGGGTGAATGCAGGAGGGCTTCAGGTCCCGCTGGCCTCCTGGGCCACTCCTGCCAATGCTCTGCACCGGCCCCTGCGCCTGGCGTGCACACGTCTACCTCTAACGGGAGGCCCCACCACACACTGGCCCCACCGGAGTGGTGGACATTGTGGTCTGGGTGGGGCCTGGGCACTGCTCCCCAGAGTCACTACAGCCCAGGCTGAGCCTCTCCTGCGTGGTCAACTGACCCTGGTGGGGCCTCCCCAAACCACCCCCTGGCAGGTGTCCCAGCTCAGCCAACCACTCCTGTGAGCCCTGCAGGCCTCTTGGAGCCTCTGCCCCATCATGGGCCTTGTGTCTCCGTGGTGCAGGCTCTGTGGGGCTGGGGATTCCGGTGGGCTGGAGTCTGAGCCCCTCACTCCACCTCCGCAGCCACAGTAGCACATGCCTGGGCTCATGGGCTGGGTGGGAAGAGTTGCCACCAACATGGAGATGGTGGGAACTGGCCAGGGTCAGGCAATGGCCGTGTCCTGGAGGGGAGCTGGGGGCTGACTCACCAGGCCCCATTCCCTCCCAGACACCTGGGGCTGCAGCAGCCCAGGACACACAGGCCGACACCCCTTCCTGACACCTCCAGCAACCAGGGGAGCCGCTGGCCGCTGGCAGGATTCACAGTGGGGCTGGTCCTTTTAATGAGGTCCTGAGTGGCCTGGGGGGTGGGGAAGCAGAGGCCGGGCCGAACTGTCCCACGCAGTGAAGGCTCGGCCCTGATGCTCTCACAGTTATCACTGAAGTTCACACAGGTCACGTCAGTGTCCTTCACTGGCCATTGTCAGAAGAGACTAAGGACACGCTGTCACAGCCTCAGTGGTGAGTCCTGTGCTCTGGTCACGCCTGAGCACGTGGCCGTGCCGGGGGCCCTGCTCGCAGGCAGAGTGAGGACACCGGAGCTGCCTTCAGGCCAATGGCAACACTCCATGGGAGTCAGAGGAAGTTAAGTGAGCTGAGGAGGGGCCCGGGCTGGTGATCACCCCCACCTTTCATTCTTGGCCCAATTTATGATGAAAATTCACGTTCATTAAATTCTGCTTTTGAGGGGACAGTGGCTTTAGCCTTCTGTCGTTCACTTGAAAAGTGAAGTTTTAAGCAGCTGTGATGGGGAAATTGCTTCAAGTTGGGCAGATAGCAGCGTGGTGAAATGAAGTGGTGACGGATTCTTGCTAAAACACACGCACACCTCCCAGGACTTCCAGGGGCCTCAGCCCACCACGCACCCCTCCCAGCCCCGATGCCGGCCTCACCTGCTGGGGACTCGGTGTGGACGTTCTCGTCGTCCGAGTCAGCAAAGACCTCAGCCAGCTCCTGGTCGGACATGTCGGTCAGCTCCGTGAGGTCCAGGAGGTCGAAGTGGACCTCCAGAGAGGAGACACTGCTCAGAGGCTCTGAGGGCAGAGGGGGTACGGTCAGCCCTCAGGCCCTCCCACAAGGCTGCTTAGAGCCCTGGGGGTCTAGGAGAGTGTGCGCTGTGTCCTCCCACAAGGCCGTGGGTGAACCACAGCCTCGTGCAAAGCCCAGCACCATCAGGATCTGATGGGTGTTGCGTGTACTCATGACTAGAAGGCTTTCACTTGACAGATGGTGCAGCTGAGGCCCAGAGAACCAAAGCTGCAAGAGTCTAGCGCACAGCGCTGGACCCAGAGCCCCCAGGAGTGTTTGGACAGGAGGTGGACCCTGCTGCCTTGTGTCCTGGGGGAGCTCACGGGGTCCTCATAGAGTGCACTGGGCAGGGAGCAGTACTTACGCCTCCTCTCCGTGACCTGCAGGAGCCCCGGTGCTGGTATTGGGATGCCCCCCACCTCCTCCTCCACAGGCGTGTGGCCATTGTCCCCTGTCCCGTGGGCTGGGACGCCCAGCGCAGCCTGCAGCACCTCAGCCTCCTTAACGATCTCTGCATCCAAAGACACAGGGTGTTACCTTGAGACCCACAGGGCTCCCACATCCCTCCAGAACGCGGGGCTGGGTGTGAGGACTTGGCACATCCAGTCCTTTGAAACTCTGGGCAGTGACCCGCAGGTGATGGGATGGCTGGGCTTGTGACCTCATGCCTGGACCCCAGACAAGGGGTTGGGGGGCTTCAAGGAGGCTGCCCCTTCCCCTTGGGCCTGGCCTCCCCTAGTGAACAAAGACTCTGAGATCCAGATCACCCTTGGTACTCAAGCACCCGTGAAAGCAGCACCATGCAGGCCTGGAAGTTCCACCAGGGCCCGCGTGGCTCATCCCAGTGCTGTCCTGGCCTCTGAGTTCTGGCTCAGCCCAGGGTCCCCTGAAGGATCATCCGTGAGTTTCCATGCCCAGCCTCTTGGTCCCCTTCAAACCAGAACAGCCCCTCTCCACTGTCCTTTTAAAAACCAATGTTGTATTTGAGTTCAGAATAACACATTCTCATTAAATGAAAGTTAGAAACCAGGAGGAATAGGCAGGCCTGCCATTCTGTGATCACTTAGCCACCAACCACGCCTCACAGTCGAGCAAATATTCTTCCAGGTTTTTTCCCTTTTTTTTTTTTTTTGAGATGGAGTCTCTCTCTGTCACCCAGGCTGGAGTGCAGTGGCTTGGTCTCAGCTCACTGCAACCTCTGCCCCCTGGGTTTGAGCGATTCTCCTGCCTCATCCCCCTGAGTAGATGGGATTACATACAGGCATGCACCACCATGCCCGGCTAAGTTTTGTATATTTAGTAGAGACGGGGTTTCACCATATTGGCCAGGCTGGACTTCTGACCTCAGGTGACCCATCTGCCTTGGCCTCCCGAAGTGCTAGGATTACAAGGTGTGAGCCACGGAGCCTGGCCTCATTTTTTCACAAACGTAACTGTTCCTTTTTGTTTGTTTGTTTTTTTTAAGACAGAGTCTTGCTCTGTCACCAGGCTGGAGTGCAGTGGCATGATCTCGGGTCACTGCAATCTCCACCTCACGGGTTCAAGCAATTCTCCTGCCTCAGCCTCCTGAATAGCTGAGACTACAGGTGCGCACCACCATACCCAGCTATTTTTTTTTTTTTTTTTGTATTTTTACTTGTGATCCACCCGCCTTGGCCTCCCAAAGTGCTGGGATTATAGGCGTGAGCCACCGCGCCTGGCCCAACTGTTTCTTTTTTATACTTAACAATTGTTTTGTCAGATGAGAGCAGGAGGCCCCTTGGCTGCTGACCCAAAGCTAGAGACATTGGCAACTCTTACGTCCATCCCTCCACAGATCCCCTCAGCCCTCCCCAGCTGCTCACCCTCTCATCCAGGGCCACATCATTCTAGCAGCCACCTCACTTGCCACAGGCAGCCAGAGAGTCCTGTTAGCCAGAGTCAGGCCTGTCCCTGGGGGCATGCTCCCCTTTGGCCCTAGGCCCTGCAGGTCCATCTCTTAGGGAAGAGACAAAGCACTTGCTTTTTGCCCCCACCCATTGCCCCTGCAGGAACCTGTTTCCAGATGGCCCTCCTTCCCTCAGCTGCTTCCTGGACCCTGCGTGGCAGGGGCCTTCTGGGGACACCAACACTTCCCCCCTGAGTGGGTGCTCAGCACACGCTTGTCAGATGGACAGGTGCCCTCCTGTTTCTGCCAGGAGCACCCTGAGGACCCTGTGAGGTATTTTTGGCAGCCCCCAGTGGTGAGCACTGATCGTAGCTGGATGTGCTTGAAGCCGAGGGGAGCAGCTGGGATTCGGTGCCAACAGCTGCCTGGGAGGGGTGGGCCTGTCCTCCCCCATGGCACTAGCTGGCAGCCTAGATACTGCCAGGTGAGCCTGGTGGGTCTGCAGCGTCCGTCCTAGCGCACCCCCACCTCTCCCCAGCGGAGCCGATGGAGCTGCAGGCCCGCAGGTGCCCGGCCTCCTGAGTGAGGAGCACCAGTGCAGGGCTGGGAGGTCCCCACTGGCTTAAGAACTGGGCAGTGTGGCTGTAGGCAGGTGACCTGGCAGCGAGCCGAGTGTTAGGCTCTGCCTGGGCAGCAGCCCTGTGGCCTGACGGTGGCCCACCTGCCTCCTGTCTGAGGAGCCGAGTGCTGTGTCATCGCATGGCCCATTTCAGGCCTGGGGGTTGGGCAGGCTGGACGGGGCTCGCAGAATCTGGTTTCTACCTCTCCACTGGCATCTGGAATGAGGTTTCTGAGCATCCTAAAGGGTCAAGTTACTGGTGTCTTGGCCCACCCCCAAGTCCAGCAGGGATACCTGCCTGCCCAGAGGGCACAGGGGACAGGGGATGAGATGTGGACTCTGTTCTAAGGCTGTGAGCAGGGGGATCTCCTGGACATCAGCAGGAAGAAGGCTGCTTGACCACTGTCCGTAGCGCTGAGGGGGCACCCAGGGGAGGGGACGCCCCCAAAAGACCCAGCCTGGCCCTTGGGCCCTTCCTCAAGGAGAAACAGTGTAGCCCGCAGCCCCAGGTCCCTGCCCACAGTGTGCTCATGTCCCGCTGGACGGTGCTGTGGTCACTGTTCCAAAACGCTTCCACACAACTCAGAGCGGTGGCCATGGCTGCAGAGGGCGTAGCTCTGTCCCAGCCTTGAGTCTCAGGAGGGTGCTGCAGCTGGCCCTGAGGGTGCGGCAGGGGCCTCAGACCTGCCAGGTCCAGGACAGAGCAGGGGCCGTCCCTCTGGCACAGCTGATCCAGAGCCCTGAGAGCAGGTACGAGTGGGGAACCGAGGTGCAGGGTAAGTCACTGGCCAGGAGGCCCTGCTCTCAGGATCCCCAGCTGAGGAGGCTACAGGGGCTCTTACCTCCCCAGGTTTATAGGCCAGGCATGTCCCCCATGGGCACCCTCACCCCAGAGCAGGACTCTGGGGAATAGCCCTCAGCTCCACCTCTGTCCCTCCCTGCCCCTCCTTCTGTCCTGAGGGGCACCCCCTCCTATTTTTTCTTTCTTTCTTTTTTTTTTGATGGATTTCTGTTCTTGTCCAGGCTGGAGCGCAATGGCGCGATCTCGGCTCACCAAAACCTCTGCCTCCTGGGTTCAAGCGATTCTCCTGCCTCAGCCTCCCGAGAAGCTGGGATTATAGGCATGCACCACCATGCCCAGCGAATTCTGTATTTTTAGTAGAGATGGGGTTTCTCCATGTTGGTCAGGCTAGTCTCAAACTCCTGACCTCAGGTGATCCGCCTGCTTCAGCCTCCCAAAGTGCTGGCATTACAGGCTTGAGCCACCGCGCCTGGCCTCTCTCTTTCTTTTTTTTAAGAGACAAGGTCTCCCTGTTGCCCAGGCTGGAGTGCAGTGGTAAAACCATAGCTCACTGCAGCCTCAACTTCTTCGGCTCAAGTGATCCTCCCACCTCAGCCTTCTGAGTAGCTAGGACCACCACTCCTGGCTAATTAAAATTTTTTCTGGTAGAGACAGGGTCTTGCCGTATTGCCCAGGCTGATCTCGAACTCCTGGGTTCAAGCGATCATCCACCCTGGCCTCCCATCCCCTCCTCTCTGGCAGCCCCCTGATATCAAGGAAACCTGGGGCAAGAGCAGTTCTGCAGAGAATCTCTGTGGGGACAGCACCCTCAGAAGCAGGGTGGGGCAGGTGGTTCTGGGTTAATAATGACAGCTGGGTGTGGTGGTACACACCTGTGTGGCGGCTACTCGGGAGGCTGAGGCAGGAGGACCGCCTGAAACCCAGGAGGTCAAGAATGCAGTGAGCTATGATCGTGCCACTGCATTCCAGCCTGAGCAACAGAGCAAAACCCTGCCTTTAAAAAAAAAAAGGCAGTGGCTTATGGTTTTCTAGGACAGTCCCAGCATTCTGTGTTTATTGACTAACTCCATTCTCACCTCACCCTAACTCCCAGCTACATGGGGAAGACTCTGAGATTTGTGCTTGAGAGGAAGAAGCTGAGGCACAGAGTAGCTCAGCATCTGTCCCCAGCATGCAGCACAGGGCTGGCCACAGACGCAGCTGGAGCTCTCAGCCATCACCTGTCAGCCTGTTCCTGATCATGGCGTGGGGATGGGAGACAGGGATCCTGGTTCAGGGCCCAGCAGAGGGAGCAGAAAGTCCCTCACTTGCTGGCTTAGGTTCCCTGGGTCCTGACCCCGGGGGAAGTGGATCTCTGAAGGAAGGTGGGACAGAGGTGGAGTCTCCCCTTGTAGCCCCCCTCTCGCTGGGCGGGGCCCCTCATCCAGACGAAGGCTCTCATTCATTCACCCAACCAAGACTTCTGAATCGTCCTCCGTTCTGGGGACATGGCCTAGACAAACTAGATGATTCCTGCCCTTCTGAGGGGCAGTCAGTGCAGGGAGCAGTGTGGGGCTGTGCTCCCATTTTAGGGAGGGTCTGGGGAGGGTGCTCTACCGAGACTTGGAGGAGAAGCCTGCAGGTGAGAGGGAGCCGTGTGATACTGGGGGGACATGCATAAGGGCCCTGAGCAGAGTGCATCTGAGGACAGCTGGGGGCTGTGAGGCAGGGCAAGGGTGGGTGTGTGCAGGTTGTGCGGACCTTGTCAGGACTTTGGTTTCTACGCCGAGTGAGCTGGAAGAAGCTGCTGAAGGGTTTGAGCTGAGTGGGACAGCATCTACCTGAATTTTTTTTTTTTTTTTTTTTTGAGGTGGAGTCTCACTCTGGCGCCAGGCTGGAGGGCAATGGCGCAATCTCTGCTCGCTGCAAACTCCACTTCCTGCGTTCAAGCGATTTTCTTGCCTCAGCCTCCCGAGTAGCTGGGATTACAAGTGTGCACCACCATGCCTGGCTAATTTTTGTATTTTTAGTAGAGACGGGGTTTCATCCTGTTGGCCAGGCTGGTCTTGATCTCCTGATCTCGTGATCCACCTGCCTTGGCCTCCCAAAGTGCTGGGATTACAGGCGTGAGCCACCGTGCCCGGCCAATACCTGCATTTTTACGATGAGGCCAGCAAGGCACAGTCCAGCGGGAGGTAAGTCTGCAGGCACTGCTCCCACCATCCTCCATGTATGCTGGGTGCCCTCTGCTTGTGCTGGGACAGGGACCCCAAGCAGGACCTCAACCAAACAGCAATCCCCTTCCCCATCTTGCACTGGAGAAGGGGCATAGGAATGCCAGCAGTCCTCATTATAGATCCTGGGGTCCCAAGGGACCACAGACAGCCTCTGGGACAAAGCTCTAGCCCAGTGGAGCTGCACAGCCAGCCCTGTGTGGAATGAATATCATCAAGAAAGTGAATATCATAATTGAAGCATCTTTTCCGCCACGACCGGCGCGGCGGTCACCGCGTAACATGGAACACGGCCATCATGAGGCCAGGTTAAGAGGACAGCTCTGGCAACACACTTGCGCCCACCACACTACCAAATACAACTAGCGGTGTGGGGGCAACGTGCCTGTCAGTCCCAGCTCAGTCAGGCAGCCTGAGCAGAGACCGCTGCAACCTAGGAGCGGAGGTTTTCAGTGACAGACGATCGCGCCACTGGCCTCCAGCCTGCGTGACGAACGAGACCCCCTGTCCAAAACACAAAAAAAAAAAGAAAAAGCATCTCTTTTCAAATTTCACATGTCGGAGCGGGGGTGCACAGCAATGCACGAGAGCTAATGGTGTCAGCGTTGATGGGATTCAGTCCTGTAAGCATTTGAAGCCACCAGGTATCTAGTCTGATCCTTCCCTACCTCCCTTTGGCAGTGGCCTGGTCTTTATTCTGTAAACTCTGGTGCCTTGGCCTGTGTTGAGGCTTTGGGGAAGGAAAATTTGGAAGATGCAGCTTTTCCCATCAGGACACTAATTTTTTGGCCAGAAGAATGTGATGCCAGGGACACACAAGACCTGAGCACCCAGGAGGGGCAAGATTGATCTTGGCATGAAGAGCGTGCAGCTGCTGTAAGGCATGCTCGTGATTCCTCTAGTGACTGAACCTACCGTGTAATACTCACAGCATACAAATATGTGTTCGTTAACCATATCGGTAAAGCTGTGGTCAACAGCAGGCTATTAGCAGTTAAGTTTTTGGGGAGTCAAAGGTTCTATGTGGATTTCTGACTTTGAGGGAGGTTGGCGCCCCTAACCCTTATGTTGTTGATGAGTCAGCTACACACGCATGTCCACAGCGTGATTTGCAGGAGCCCAAAGTGGAAGCAATCGAATGCACGTCAGTGGCTCAATGGATAAACAAAATGTGATTCAGCCCAAGAAGGTCTGCGGCACCGACACAGGATACCACGCGGATGAGCCTGATCACCTCATTTGAGTGAAAGCCAGGCCCAGAAGAACTAATACTGCAAGACACCGTTCTTACGAAGTGTCCAGAATAGGCAAGTGCATAGAAATCCGATCAGTGATTGTCAGAGGCGGCGGGGGGTGGGGGGGCAGTGGAGAAGGGGAGAATGGGTATGGGGTTTTTTTTTGGGGGGGTAATGAAGATATTATAAAATTAGATAGTGGTGGTGACCTCACAATTTTGTGAATATACTAAAACAGTGAGTTGCACACTTCAAAAGGGTGAACTGTATATGTGAATAATATCTCAATTTAAAAACAATCCTCAATGGAAACAAAGGTTGATCTTGGCTGGAGTTGATATTCGCATACACTATGAGTCAGCCACGCACCAGACCCCCAGGCTCAGCCCCAGAGCAGGCTGGGACTGGGTAGAGCGAGAAGCATCAGCTCCAAGCAGCTTGTATCTAGTTCCTGGCTGCATTCCTAGGACCGAGCACACAGTAGTTGCGCAGTGAACAAATGAGGGTGAATCAAGGAGCCCACTAGCCCACGGTTAGTAAGGAGCTGTGCTAGGAATCACCCAGGCCTGTCTGACACCCTCTCAACAAGCTTGTGGGGAGAAGAAAATTTCTCACGGGCAAGACCTGCTGCTTTTCCCAGGGTGGGAACCAGAGGCTCAATGCCAGGCAGGCATGGGGGCAGGTGCTGGCAGCCCCCAGGGTCTCCAGGGCCAGGGCAGAGGCAAGCAGGTGTTTCTGATGCCCCAGAAAGGACCCCGGAGTGTGGTGTCACAACAATGTTCTGGTCCTTACCCCAGTACAGCCCCTATCAAGGGGGACCCAACCCCTCTGCAGGGGTTGCTGGTGCCCTGGCTGATGAGTGGGCACTGAAGCAGCACCCCAGTGAGGGAGCCAGGAGTTGGGGTGCCTCAGCCCAGCCCCCAGGCTTCCCTGAGGGCTGATTGCTGATGCCCTGTGCTCTGCTGCTGACCTATTTTCCAGCACATTCTCGACTGGAAAACTTGGCCCAAATCCTGTTCCCTGTTGTGTGCCCAGGGCCCTGCCCAGAGCATCGAGAAGGCACTTGGCACACACCACTGCATGGATGAATGAGCTAATGAAGTGAATGAATGAATATCATAAACTAAATGGATGCAGGGAAGGCAAGATGGTCGCAGAGGCAGGGGCCACCTGCCCCCCATCCCCCAGCACCTTCCTCTCTGGATTTGGACCCCCAAAGCATTTCAGGGATGCTGGGGTAGCCCTGTCTAGACTCTCAGCCTCCTGAGGATCCCTCTCGTTCTCCCTGTGGTCCCTCGGGCAGACTGAGTTGGGGTGGGTTACAGCCCTGGCTTCCAGGTGGGGCCCTCAGCGAGGGCACACGTCACATTCCTGTGCACACATGCACCTCCGTGTTCTACATTTCATATTAAGAAATAATTCCTTTAGGTGCAAAAATAGTGTTTTAATAATGCTTTATAAAAATTGTAGTTTACAGATATTTCTGAATTATTTATCAGTGAAATAATATGTCTAGATTTGGTTCAAACCACTAATGAAGGGAGGTTGGTGGTAGTCTGGAGAGGAGGCTGTGGGCCTAGGGGCTGGGATATCACACATGGGCCTTTGTCATGCTGTTCTCTCTACTTTTGTAAGGTTTTCAAAAGTAAGTGATAAGTAATGACAGTTATAGTCACCAACGTGTGATCTCATGAGGTTCCACAAAGTAGGCATCACTGGCCACTTTGCAGACAAGGAAACAGGCATTGGTGTCAAGAGTGTGAGCCCTCAGAGGACAGAGCCCTATCTTCCCACTAAGTCCCCACCCCAGGGAGGGTACTGCGCAGAGCCGTGACCTGCAGGTAGATACCTGTGCACTGACTGAGTCAGGTATCTGAAGCCCCCAGCCAGTAAGTGATGGGCTCAGAAACTGAACCTGCTTTCTCTGCCTTTTAAGCTGCTGGGAAGGCCTCCTTTTTTCCCAAAGGAGGAGGGAAAAGAGATTAACCTCCACTCCCAAATGCCTTGGGCTTCCATAGCCCTGCAGGGGAAGCAGAGCTGTCTCCACTGACAGACATGGAAATTGAGGCTCAGAGGGGCCTGACTGCCCACAGTTCACAGCTGGAAACAGGTCTGAGACCCCCAAGCCCTCACTCTCAACTTCCAGGCTTCCTATGTCCACAAAGCTGCTATTGGGAAGACCCAGGGGACTGGGACTATCAGTGTTAAGAAAGAAATCTGATCCCTCCCACAAATGACAAAACAAAACCCAAATGCACCAGCCCTGGGGCATTCGTCCCTCCACCTTGGACTGCAGATACACAGGGTGCGTGGACCTGCTCCTCCTGGGGACGCCACTGTGTGGGGCTGGGGGACTGAGAGGTTCCCATGTAGTTACAGAGTGGCAGGCTGGCCTGTGCCCTCAGGTACCTGCTGGCTCCCTGCAGTGGGACCTCTAGGAAACCAGGAGGTGGTGGGCTTGGCTGGGCAGGTGGAGGTGTCTGCAGTTTGCATCCAAGTTCCTACCTAGGCCAATGGAACCTCGAAAGCCCTTTTGGAAAAGGCTCTGGGAAGCGGGGAGAGTCTGAGAGCTTTCTTCCCGTTACCAACTCCAAGGTCCTGCAGTAGGGCCTCCACCATCAGGGCAGGGAGCGCTCCACGCGCACCTACCCTCCCCGGTGAGCGTGCGCCTGGGCCGCGCCCGGACCAGCCACGCTTGCAGCTCTGGAGCCCCCGGCAGGCCGCACCCGTGCATGCCCCACGCCCCCACCAAGACGCATCTCAGCCCCTCGCCCCTGGCAGGATCCCTGCCACGGTCTACGGCCCTCGCCCCCGGGACTCGCGGCTGGGCGAACAAAGCGGACGCGCTTGCAAGCGACCAGCGTCGCCCCCACGCCCCACCGACAGGGACCCCAAACTCCAGCCTCGGAACGCCCCTCCCCCGCTCCCCGGGTCACCGGCTGATGCTTCTGGGAGGGGGCTCAGGACGAAACTCCGGGCCACCCACCAAGGAGCGTGCCCGGCACGGCTTCCCGGGCCGGGAACGCAGAGAACAAGGGGGCGGAGACTCGGTCTGTGTGCCCCTAGCCCCGCGCGGGGACCGCGCCCGGGAGGTGCCCCTGGCCCGCCGGACGCCCCCGAGTTGCCAAAGGGGTCTCCCGGGAGCCGCGAAGGGTGAGCCCTGGGGGGAGGGGCTGCGGCTCGCTGCGGGAAAGCGCTGCTCGGGGGTCTCGGGGGCCGGGGCTGAACTCACCTCCGGGGCCGGCGCCCTCCGGGGGCTCCATGCGGCCGGCGGGATCTGGGAGGGGCACCGGCGACGGCGGTGTCGCCTGGCCCGGGCGCCCCAACAGCTGCGGCAGCTACTCGGCCCCGGCTCCGGGCGCAGCGCATCGGGGCAGCAACCGGGGGGCCGCGGCGGCAGGGAGGAGCCCGCGGGGCGGGGCGCGCAGCTGCTCCCGGGCCCCGGCCCCCTCCCAGCGCCCCCCCAGCCGCAGGACAGGTGCGGCCCCGCCCCGGCCCGCGCGCGCCCCCTGCCGGCCCCCGGCCCCGCGGACGCCTCCCCCGCCGACCCTTCCCTCGTGGGCCGCGCCCCGCCGCGGACCCCACCGGGACCCCGCTGCGACCTCCCGACCCCGGCCGGGCGTCCGGGGCTCCTGCGCACTCACTCGGCAGCCGCGCCCGCTTGCGTCCTCTTGTTCTCTTTCAGGTGCGTGCGTGTGGGGCGCCGACTGTGTGCGGGCGCCCCTCGGGGCTGGCGAGGGGCACAGGAGGCGCCTGACTCGGGCGGGTAATGACAGAATCGCAGAGCGCACTGGATGGTGTGAATTAACGCGGGGGGTGGGTGGGGGCGAGGACGTGTACTTGGGAGGCTGGAAGGGGCGGGGTGGGGGATGGGAAGCAAGGAGAGGGCGGCGGGGCCCGGGCTGCAGAGCGCGCCCAGGCAGTTTCGATGAAATCCCACCTCCCAGCAGGCGCTCAAACCCCCGCCGCGTGGGGCCGACTCTCTCAGCGCACAGAGCTCTCGTGCAGTGTCTCCTTGCTTCTCCCACGGATCCTAAGAAGAAGATATCCTTTCAGGTGAAGAAGCACAGAGACCGTAGGTCACCTGTCCAACGATGCAGTCGGGTCCTGGGAAGCTCTGACTCCAGGCCCGTGCTCTGCACTTGAAACAAAACAAACCAAACCAAAGTGTCAGGTAGGAAGAATTTGTTCCCAGCTGCGAGTGAAAAAGGTAATGAACTTGACAGATGGACTTGAGCGGCCCAGATTGCAGGAAAGGCTGTTTCAGAGGCCAGTGGTCCGTTCAGCTTCCACTAACCACAGTCAGACCTCAAGGCCCTGGCTGCCCGGCCGGGCCTGACTCCTGCCCCAACTCCGGTTACGGGGGGTAGTGCATGTCTTTGAGTCTGGAAGTCAGTGGGGCAGGCTTTTAGTTTCCCTGTTTCTTTAGTTTACAAAACAAACAAAAACTGCTGTTTAAAAGCCTCTGAAATGATTTCATGACCCACTGGCCTCCTCGCCACCCTGAGGGGTGCAGAGCCTTGCCTCCCAGGGAGGCAGTGGAGCAAGCTAGTGGCTGCCCTGGGAAGTGGGAACAGTGCATGGGCGTAGACCACCCAGAGTTGTTTGGGGTGGCAGGTTGTTTTTTCTCAAAATGACCACAGCAGTAGTTCTGATCCCCTGTGTCTTCCAGAACCTTCCATTCCCATGAAGACACCCCCACCCATGCTGCTTCTCCGTAAACATTATTGGGGCTTGGGACTGCTCTGGCCAGTAGGGGTGGCAGAAGCAATGTCATGTGACTCCCAAGGCTGGGTCTTGAGAAGCATTCAGCTCTTTGGAAAGGTTCCTCCTGGAACTAGAACTTCCTCCACGTCGTGAGGAAGCCCATGCCACATGGGAGGACACCTGTGTGTGTTACTGCTGGCGGTCCCACTGAGCTCCCTGCCAACAGCTGGCCTCAGCTGCCGAAGCGAGTGAGCCTTTGAGCTGTCCTGGGGAGGGGTGATGAGTGGGGATGAGGCCAGCTGTCCCTACTTTGTCATGGCCAAGTTGCAGATTCATGAGCAGAGCAAATGTCATTGGATTAAGCTGCTGTGTTTTAGGGTTGCTTGTTACGCAGCTGTGGTAACTGTAACAGTCATCATTGTGTGTGAATGATTCCCATTTGAGAGAGGAATAAATGATACAGAGGGGGTCTTGTCGAAGATTGTCCTGCTGGTAATCAATAGGCAGTCTGACTCCAGAGGACAGTGTCTATTTGTCTTTAACTTTTTATTAATAACATTAGCAAACACCAAAGGTAGAGAGAATGGCACAACTGACCCACATGTACCTACCGCCCAGATTCAGCGATTACTAACTCCTGGCCTGTGCCGTTGCTTCTCTGTCCTCATTCACTTCCCTCCACTGCTGGGTTATTTTGAAGCAAATTATATACACATTAGATCACTGCATTTGTAAATACTTCAATATTTATCTCTCAAAGAAAGTCCATTTGCTGGAGAATTGACTCATGCCTGTAATCCCAGCACTTTGGGAGGCCGAGGTGGGAGGATAGCTTGAGCCCAGGAGTTTGAGACCAGCCTGGGGAACAAAGCAAGACACTGTATCTTCAAAAAATAAAAATAAGAACATAAGCCAGGTACAGTGGCTTGGAGGCTGAGGTGGGAGGATCGCTTGAGCCCAGGAGTCCAAGGCTGCAGTGAGCGATGATTGTATGTCTCAAAAAGAAAAGAAAAGAGAAAGTCTAGTCTTCATAAACACTCTTGTTATCCCAACATCCAGGCCTTCGCTGAGTTGACGCAGTGGCCTGAGGCAGTTTACCTGGTGGATAGTGGGCGGCAGGAAGCATCAGACGTCAGACAGGACAGTTGGTTTGTTTGTATTAACATTTGCTCTGGGATTTTTCAGGAAACTCAGAGCCGCACAGCTTGACACAGAATGAAAGTATCTTAAGCCATATATGTGAAGAAAAGGCTCTTTTCCAAAAATCTGAACTCAAATTCAATATGAAAAGAACAGGTTGCATCGGGCCCTGTCGGGAGCCCAGGGAGCTGCAATTCAGGGCTCCCTAAATGATTCATTCATCTCTGCAGTTCATACCGACAGACCAAGCTGTGCTCTTCGCTTGTGAAAAATGAATACACTGTCTAGGCTATCCTGAGCTAACCCTCGTATTCTTGCCCTTTTTGCTGAAAGGAATTATTGTTAATATAGCTATTTAATTCAGGACTCTCATCCAGACTTCTGAAGCAAAAAGCCAATCAGCATGAAGCTGCTAGCATATTGGTTTTGTGAAGTAAGTGTTAAATAATAATAATAATTACCCTCACTGTGCTCTCCAGTGTCACTGTCTGACCACCTTATCCCAGGGGGAGGAGGCCCCCTCAGGCCAAGGGAGTCTGGCACAGTGACCAGCCAGACTTCACCAAGGCCTCAGGGCTTACTATAAATAAATCATGGCTTTGTACAAGCTGAGCCAGTGCAGTTCTTCCAACTGGCTGCTCCTCTCCAAGAACAATCAGGACTTGGGTGGGCAAGCAGGAAGTCTCTCATCACAGTGGTTCTCAGATTCCCACCACTGTGTGGGTGCCCGAGGCCTGAGCAAGCCCAGCTCATGTGGCAGCATGAGCTGGACGGGAAGACCTAAGTCCACCAAGCCTTTCATCTCTCACCCTTTGCCCCCAGCACAACTTTCTATGAGCATAGATTCTGGAATCTTCATCCCAAGACACACAGGAGAACAAGATCTGCTGTAAGACCTTTTTTTTTTTTTCTTCGAGACATGGTCTCAGGTCTCACTCTGTTACCTAGGCTGGAGTGCAGTGGTGTGATCTTGGCTCACTGCAACCTCCACCTCCAGGGCTCAAACGATCGTCCCACCTCAACCTCCCAAGTAGTATGACCACTCCTTTTTTTTTTTTTTTTTTTGAGACAGAGTCTCGCTCTGTCGCTCAGCTGGAGTGCAGTGGCCGGATCTCAGCTCACTGCAAGCTCCGCCTCTCGGTTTACGCCATTCATCCTTGCCTCAGCCTCCCAAGTTAGCTGGGACTACAGGCCCCGCCACCGCCCGGCTAGTTTTTTTTTTTTTTTTTAAGTAGAGACGGGTTTTCACTGTGTTAGCCAACTCGCGATCTCCTGACATCGTGATCCGCTCCGTCTCGGGCCTCCCGAAAGTGCTGGGATTTGGACAGGCTTTGGAGCCAACACGTGCCCGGCCGATGACCACTTTTTAAGAAGATGTTAAAGATGACAGCTTACGGCCAGGTGTGGGGCTCACGTTGTGCTCCCAGCACTTTGGGAGGCTGAGGCAGGAGGATCGCTTGAGACCAGGAGTTTGAGACCATTCTGGGCCATAAAGCATGACCCCATCTCTATAAAAAACTTCTTTAAAAAAGCTGGGTGTGGTGTCTCACACCTGTAGTCCCAGCTTCTCAGGAGGCTGAGGTGGGAGGATTGCTTGAGTCCAGGAGGTCGAGGCTGCAGTGAGTTGTGATCACAGCCTAGGCGACAGAAGGAGACCCTGTCTCCAAAAAAAAGAAAAGAAAAATAAAAAAGAAAGAAGCACCTGTTTATGACAAACTCAGCCTTCTGGGTGACGTAGATGGTTGTATGTAGGTAACAGGGTGGTTTCAGGGATGGCAAATTCACTTTAGAAATTGTAAAATGCCTAGCAGTCTTCGGAACGAGATTAGTTAGAAAAGGAAAGTGACAACTGTGTGTTTTCTGCAGGGCCTGTCGGAAAGTCTCTGGTTTCTGTTCATCCCTGAGGACTGGGGAGGAGGCCTTTTCAGGAAGAGCAGTTTATTTTTGTGAAAGGGAAACTTCCTGATTTCAAACATTTGGAACTAAACTGGAACCTATTTTTCTTTCCTATTTCTACGTTTTTGAGGTGTGTGTAAAGCCACCAGCGCAGCAGCTGGGAGGACCCCTCAAAGCGGGGCGGGTGGGGTGAGTGAATCCCAGCGGGTAGAGTCTTTGCCCAGATTTGAATCTCATTTGGGTGATGTTTCAGAGCCCTGGGTGGCAGATGACCATTTATTCAACGGTCCTTCATTCGCTCATCCAGCCACTCAGCACATCTTTACTGAGCACGTGCCCTGTGCTGTTCTAGGCGCTGAAGGATAGAAGTGAACGGTTCTCTCCTCATGGAGCTTAGGTTCCAGCAATAAGCAAAACATGTCCTGCAGCGAAAGGCTTCTGGGCTTCTGGGCTGCCGGCGAGATCTTCCCAACTTTCACTACCGGGTTCCTTCCTGACGCCCGTCTCTAGGGACGCACTCCCGCGGTCGGCAGGGCTGGGGCCCGGCGGAGTCTCGCGAGGATCTGGTGACTTCTCGCGGTAGCGCCCAGCGGTTGCCGGGAAACGGCGTGGCTTCCGGGGGGCGCGCGCGTTGGTCCGGGAGTCGCGGCTGGGCCTGTCCGCTGGCGTCATGGTGAGCAGGGGCTGGAGCGGGGCTGAGGTCCTCGGCAGGGGCCTGGAGACCTCGGGGCAGGGAGGCCTCGGTACACAGAGACCCTGGGAGTGGGAGGACTGGAGCGCTGGGTTCCTGGAATTGAGAGCTCGGTGCTCTTGTGAGGGTCTCCGTGGGGCAAACTCAGGATGCTCCTGGCCCCGGGGCCTGCCCGCACTCGGAGCTGAGACCTGGGCGGTCCAGAGCCCTGTGCTCCCTGGGGTGGTCATAGAAAGCCCAGGACCCAGGGTCCGCAGCGCATGGTCCCCAGAAGAGTGAAAATGCGTCAAGGGGACTCCCATCCTGGAATGGGAGACTCGGTCTGTTGGATCCCTGGGACCTAGGGTTTCACCTCACAGGGGCTTTGCAGCGCACCAGGGTGCCCATTGAATAGAGCCGGGGGCAGGGATTACCCTAAGCCCGTTGGTCTCCGGAATGGAGAGCCTGGGGCACACCAGAGTGGCTAGAGATCCCTCTACACCAAGGAGGCCTGGACAGGTCCAGTGCCCTTGGAGTGCCCAGGGCACAACCTTGGGATACAGGAACCACTGTTCCCTTAGAAAGCCTGGCAGGAGTCAGGCCCAGACCGAGAAGAGGAAGGCGGAGCTGGTGGCCTCATCAGCGCCATCTCTGTCTTTCTCGTGTAAACGGCTCTCCCTTTGTGATACAGGAATTGTCAGTAACTCAATTTCTGGGCAGGTGTGGCAGGGTGGGTTTCAGCTGGTAGGGGAGGAAAGCTCTGGGAGCCCCACCAAGTCCCTGCAGCTGGCTGTGAAGGTCCCAAATGCTAAGTGATGCTGAACCTTCCTCTGCGGCCTTTAGGGCTTTGTGATGAGGTAGCCTTCTGAATGAAGTGGAGGGATTAGAAAGAGAGCAGTACATTACGAATTAAGATTTAAGTGGATGAGTTTTTTGGCCCAGGAATGGTCTTCTGAAAACAGACTGTGAAAGAAACTACCAAACTAGGCCAGCAGTCTGGGCGCCGTGACTCACACCTGTAATCCCAGCTGTTTGCGAGGCCGAGGCAGGCGGATCTTGAGGTCAAGAGATCGAGACCATCCTGGCCAACATGGTGAAATTCTGTATCTAGTAAAAATACAAAAATTAGCTGGGCATGGTGGCGGCGCCTGTAGTTCCAGCTACTCGGGAGGCTGAGGCAGGAGAATGGCGTGAACCTGGGAGGCGGAGCTTGCAGTGAGCTGAGATCCGGCCACTGCACTCCAGCCTGGGCGACAGAGCGAGACTCCGTCTCAAAAAAAAAAAAAAAAAAGGGTGACCGAGACATGTAGACACAGAAAAGCATGGGCTGAAGACTATTGGGAGTAGCAAAGTCAGCAGGATAGGATATGGAAATTTGGTATCTGCTTGAGTGCTCTGTAAATGGGTGGCCAGACAGAGCTGCTCCTGGTGTTACGCTGGTTTCAGCAACTTCCACAAGGAGGTGGGGTTAGAAGGTTCTCTCCCAACCTTGTCAAAGTTGCTAAAACCACGCACGACGCCATGCGCAGTTCCGTCTGGCAGTGCATTACAGAGCTCTCGTGGTGGGTGCTGTCGGCCCAGGCTTTCTTGACCAGGCTTCTCTGAAGCAATTTTCTCTTTGGAAGGAAGGAAACTTCTGGTTGTCACAACCACTTGCGGTTATGGAGGCTTTTCTCCCTACGCTTACTGAGTGGTGTCTTGCAGGTCTTTTCCATGGTGGTTACCACGTATTGCTGCCAGCTTGGTAACGTTTGGCAGTGTGGTATTGAGGCTCTTCCCTCGGAGCCCAAGCACGTTTTGCATGCACAGCAGAGGTCTTTACTATTACCAAGAAGTGAGTGGGTTTGGAATGGGTTCCCTCTCTCTTAGTTTTTGGAGACAGGGTCTCGTTCTGCTGCCCAGGCTGGAGTGCAGTGGTGCCAACATAGCTCACTGCAGCCTTAAACTTCTAGGCTCAAGTGATCCTCCTGCCTTGGCCTCCCAAAGTGCTTGGATGACACGTGTGAGCCACTGTGCCTGGTCACCATATATCAAGGAATGAGTGGGTTTGGAGTGGGTTCCCTCTCTTTACTTTTTTTTTTTAAGGTACAATTTTCTTTTCTTTCTTTCTTTCTTTCTTTCTTTTTTTTTTTCTTTCTTTTTGAGACGGAGTCTTGCTTTGTTGCCCAGGCCGGAGACGGAGTCTCACTTTGTCGCCCAGGCTGGAGTGCAATGGTGTGATCTTGGCTGACTGCAACCTCTGCCTCCCGGGTTCAAGCGAGTCTTCTGCCTCAGCCTCCCGAGTAACTGGGACTACAGGCACATGCCACCACGCCCGGCTAGGTTTCCTCTGTTTTCTAGAAGGAATGTTCTCCTTCTCAAAAGGAAGGTTTCTCCTTTGTGCTTCTCCAAATGCAACAGCAGGATGTGTGTGTGGTTAAGGGTGGGAACACTCAGGGCAGTGATGTGCTCCAGGTGAGCAGAAGGGTGAGCGGTTCCAGAGCCTTTTCTGCCAAATGTCCCTGGGAGCACATCAGAGCCAGCCAAGAAGGGGAAGCTGTTAGAGTCTCTCTTACTTACTCTATTATCTCCACCAAAGGCACCCAAAAAGAAAGGGAAGAAAGGCAAAGCCAAAGGCACCCCGATTGTGGATGGGCTTGCTCCAGAGGACATGAGCAAGGAGCAGGTGAGCACAGCGGGCTGTGGCCCGGTCCCTGGGTGGGCGTGGGTGGGCGTCACGCAGGGCGCCTGCATGAACCTCTCATGTGGCTGCACCATTTGTCCATCTCGCCATGTGGATCCTCCGTTCTGTCCAGGCCAGAACACCCACCCCCTGTGGCCCGTGATTCCCATCAGTGGCAGAGCTTTCGGGTACACTGTATCTTTTCAAAAAGGCAATGAGGCCGTTAAAGAACTTTGTAATAGGCCAGGCGCGGTGGCTCACGCCTGTTATCGCAGCACTTTGGGAGGCCGAGACGGGCGGATCACAAGGTCAGAAGATCGAGACCATCCTGGCTAACACGTTGAAACCCCATCTCTACTAAAAATACAAAAGAATTAGCCGGGCGAGGTGGCGGCGCCTGTAGTCCCAGCTACTCGGGAGGCTGAGGCAGGAGAATGGTGTGAACCTGGGAGGTGGAGCTTGCAATGAGCCGAGATCGCGCCACTGCACTCCAGCCTGGGCGACAGAGCGAGACTCCATCTCAAAAAAAAAAAAAGAACTTTGTAATAGGGCGGTAGGAATGTGGAAGGACATGTTTTTCTGATCTAAAAGCTATTTTTAATTTCATGTATTCTCCTTCAGTCTTACCGTTTTTTGCACCTGATGTGTATGGACTTATCATAGTACACATACTTAGCATTCTCCTTTATTTTATTTGCCATTAAACATTATCTCAAAAAAGGAAGTTTTTAAAGGAAAGATGATTTACTTAAAATCACATCTGAATCTGATTAATCATTGGTTGTTTTTGATAAAAGTCCCAACGAGGAGTAACAGCATCAGGGCTGCCTTTTTCTTGTTGCTTATTCTGGGGAGGAAGTGATGCTTTTATAGTTTCTTTGTAGGAGTTAGTTTAAGTCCCTTCTTCATTTGGATGTAGTTAAGGGCTACAGAACATAATTATATAATTACAATTTTACCTAAAAGGCTCCTGAAGACGGCAGTGTCTGGCAAGCACGGTGCGCCCTCCGGCCTCTGCCCTGATGGACGACTGCCCGTGGGCACCTGACATGGGACATGAAGACTGTGTCAACTCGGTGTTATTGTTAATCTTACCTTCTTTAGATAGTTGTAAGATAAAAAATCAATACGAAGGAGACTGAAAGAGTCACATGACCTGAAGTTGGAGCTGGGTGGAGGTCCTTGAACAATGGTAAAGAATGGCTTTATTTGACATGCAGGGAAACCATTGGCAGTTTAAGCCAGTGGCTAAGCAGAGAGGTGGTGGGGTCAGCTTTGTGTTCTGGAAAGATGTGTGGAGCTGCTGGGTGGAGAACGGATTGAACACTGCGTTGTCCCATCGTGGGAGCTGCTGCCCGTCTCCCTGTTTGCTTCCCATTCCTGTGGAGACAGGCCTTGTGGGGCAGTGGCCATGCAATCTACTGGGCAGGCCCTTGCACTGTACATTGCACATGGAGCCGCAGACTCAGAGGGCTTCTTCAGGGTCCAGGCAGGTGGGGAGGGATGGGGGCGACCTGGAGACTCCTGCCCCGCAGCCGACGACAGTTTTCGTCAGTTCACTGCGGATTGCCTTGTGGGCCTAGGACTTCAGTGCTGTTTTTTTCTGGTTTTCCAAGAGAAGCTGGAAATCTGGATATTTATAAGAAATCTGAATATTGAGTGATGGCAAAATCTCAACACCGTGTGAGCCAAACAGACCAGTCAGAAACCCTGGTTCAGGCTCCGCACAGGAGACACTAAAGGTCTGTGACGTGAAGACATTTGTCACTGTGCTGAGGCACTGCTTGGATTCGGGGGTGCTGTGCCTCCCTCATGTGAACCTAGCCCCCCACCCGGCATCCTCAGCTCAGAACCCCTCCTGCTGATCCTTCTTGATTGGTCGTTGTCTTGTCTTCTTTTGAGGTGAGAAATGTGGTTTCCCTGTGGGGAGTGTGGTGTTGAGAAAGAAAAAGGCTTACAGTAAGTGACCCGGGGCTGTGCCCAAAAAGTAACTGATTCTGACGGAGTCTTGCTGTGTCGCTCAGGCTGGAGTGCAGTGGCGTGATCTCAGCTCGCTGCGCGAACCCGCCTTCCGGGTTCACGCCATTCTGCTGCCTCAGCCTGCCTGGTAGCTGGGACTACAGGCACCCGCCACCTCGCCCGGCTAATTTTTTTGTATTTTTAGTAGAGATGGGATTTCACCGTGTTAGCCAGGATGATCTCGATCGCCTGACCTCGTGATCTGCCCGCCTCGGCCTCCCAAAGTGCTGGGATTACAGGCGTGAGCCACCGTGCCTGGCAGTAAACTGATTCTTAAGGGAAATGAGCTCCCAAGAAAGCTGGAAGCCTGTTCTACTTTTTTTTTTTCTATTTGCAGATTCGCAGTTGAACCCTCTTGAGGGTCAGGAGTCTGCTGGTTTTGTGTGTTTTTTGCTTAACATTATATCTTTAGAGGTGAATTTTTTTCATTTAGCATTATCATATGAATTTGTTTAAATGCTGCTACATCATTTGCCTGTATATGTTTTGTGTTAATGTGATATTTCTCTTAGTTGATATGTTCTAATTTGCCAACCATTTCCATATTTATTTATTTATTTTTTTAGAGACAGGGTCCTGCTCTGTCACCCAGGTGGAGTGCAGTGATGTGATCATGGCTCACTGCAGCCTCGACCTCCCAGGTTCAAGCAATCCTCCTATCTCAGTCTTCTGAGTAGCTGGGACTATAGGCACGTGCCACCACTCCTGGCTAATTTTTTTTTTTTTTTTTTGTAGTGACGGGGTTTTGCCATGTTGCCTGGGCTGGTCAACTCTGGGTCTCAAAAGGTCCTCCCACTTTGGCCTCCCAGAGTGGCGGGAGCCACCATGCCTGGCTGTTTGTGTATTTTTTGAGACAGAATCTCACTCTGTCACCCAGGCTTGAGTGTAGTGGCATGATCGTAATTAACTGCAGCCTCAGCCTCCTGAGCTTAAGTGACTCTCCCCCCTCAGCTTTCCCAGTAGCTGAGACTATAGGTGCCATCATGCCTGGTGAATTCAAAAAAAATTTTGCAGAGATGAGGACTTGCTATGTTGCCCAAGCTGGTCTTAGACTCTTGGGCTCAAGGGATCCTTCCACCTCGGCCTCCCAGAGTGCTGGGGTTACAGGCGAGAGCCACTGTGCCTCGCTCATTTCCCTGTTTAAACTGGTCTTAGGTTATTTCCTTTTCGATATTTTTGCTGTTGTAATAATGGTGTGGGTAATATCTTTGAGCAAGATGTTCTTATATTTCTTTTGAGAAATTTCTTAGGCATAAATTCTCAGGAATGGATGAAAGGATATAGTTATTTTATGATTATTGGTCAAATTGAAGCGAATTCTTCCATTTGCTGAATGTATTCTGTCTCTGGAGCTTCCTAGCCTTATATTTTAACTTTTTACGTTCAGCTGTTTATTTTTAGGTGAAATTGAGTCCTCCCTCTTTCTTCCTTGCCTTTCTTCGGCCACACGCCCCTTTGCCGTGCATGGGCCCCTGCTCAGTGCCTCACCTGACCCACTGCACCTGGCCAGGTGGAGGAGCATGTCAGCCGCATCCGGGAGGAGCTGGACCGCGAGCGGGAGGAGCGAAACTACTTCCAGCTGGAGCGGGACAAGATCCACACCTTCTGGGAGATCACACGGAGGCAGCTGGAGGAGAAGAAGGCTGAGCTGCGGAACAAAGACCGGGAGATGGAAGAAGCTGAGGAGAGGCACCAGGTGGAGATCAAGGTGAGTGGGGCCAGCCTGCCTGTGGCCACGTGGTCACCACACAGCTGCAGAGGAGCTGGACCCAGTGAGGGTGCAGGTGGGATATTTTCTGTTCTTGGCTTTAGGAGTCACAGCCCTAAAAGTGTTTTTTATAAAAGGCTGAGGGAGAAAACCTGCAGGTCCTGAGGGTTTAAAATGCAGTTTCCACAACCTGGAGGGAGTATGGGCTCTGGGGGCAGACTGGCCTGTTTGCAACTCAGCTCTGCCACTTAACACCCCATGAGCTGGGGATGCACCTCACCTCCCAGCCTTGGTGTCCTACTCTGTGCCTCAAGTGTACAGGTTTGCATAGGTGAACAGGCATGTGTAGCTGTGTACAGGTGAGGAGGCATGCAAGTGAGCAGGTGGATGCAAGTGATGAGGTGTGTGCAGGTGAGGAGGTGTGTGCAGGTGAGGCGTGGGGAGGTGAGCAAGTGGGGCAGATATGTGCAGATGAGGTGTGTGTAGGTGAGCAGGTGTCTACAGGTATGACAGGTGAGGAGGTATAGTACAGGTATGGTGCAGGGGACCAGGTGTGTACAGGAAGGTACAGGTGAGGTGTACAGGTGACCAGGTGTGTACAGGTACGGATAGGTGAGGAGGTGTAGTACAGGTGTGGTGCAGGGGACTAGGTATATACAGGAAGGTACAGGTGAGGAGGTATACAAGTGACCAGGTATGTACGGGTACGGACAGGTGAAGAGGTGTGGTGCAGGTGACCAGGTCTGTACAGGAATATGCAGGTGAGGGGGTGTGGTACAGGTGACCAGGTATGTACAGGTATGGATAGGTGAGGAGGTGTGGTGCAGGTGACTAGGTGTGTACAGGTACGGACAGGTGAGGAGGTGTGGTACAGGTGTGGTGCAGGTGAGCAGGAGTGTACAGGTATGTACAGGTGAGGAGGTGTGGTACAGGTGTGGTACAGGTGACCAGGTGTGTACAGGTATGGACAGGTGAGGAGGTGTAGTACAGGTGTGGTGCAGGGGACCAGGTATATACAGGAAGGTACAGGTGAGGAGGTATACAAGTGACCAGGTATGTACGGGTACAGACAGGTGAAGAGGTGTGGTACAGGTGTGGTGCAGGTGACCAGGTCTGTACAGGAATATGCAGGTGAGGGGGTGTGGTACAGGTGACCAGGTGTGTACAGGTATGGATAGGTGAGGAGGTGTGGTGCAGATGTGGTGCAGGTGAGCAGGAGTGTACAGGTATGTACAGGTGAGGAGGTATGGTACAGGTGACCAGGTGTGTATAGGTATGGACAGGTGAGGAGGTGTGGTACAGGTGTGGTGCAGGTGAGCAGAAGTGTACAGGTATGTGCAGGTGAGGAGGTGTGGTACAGGTGACCAGGTGTGTACAGGTATGGACAGGTGAGGAGGTGTGATACAGGTGACCAGGTGTGTACAGGAATATGCAAAGTGAGGAGGTGTGGTAGAGGTGAACAGGTGTGTACAGGTACAGACAGGTGAGGAGGTGTGGTACAGGTGTGGTGCAGGTGAGTAGGAGTGTACAGGTATGTACAGGTGAGGGGTGGTACAGGTGTGGTACAGGTGACCAGGTGTGTACAGGTATGGACAGGTGAGGAGGTGTGGTGCAGGTGACCAGGTGTGTACAGGAATACGCAAGGTGAGGAGGTGTGGTACACGTGTGATACAGGTGACCAGGTGTGTACAAGAATGTGCAGGTGAGGAGGTGTGGTACAGGTGTGGTGCAGGTGACCAGGTCTGGTATGGGACATGAAGTGAAGGGAGGTGGTGGTACAGGTGTGGGTTCAGGGTTGACCAGGGTATGTACAGGAATGTG